TCAAAGAGAAGCATGCTCGTTACTGTTTGTATTCTTTTTGTTATCATTAACATACTTGACATGGTAACTCCAGGCAAATTTCTTGATTATAGTGACCCAATAGTTGACGTTAGCTCTCAATGTCAATTGACTCATCAAACTTGCAAACCACCTCGAAGTCCTAATCCGATCAAAATTAAAAGTGGGGGAATGGAAGGCATTCAAAGGACAGGTTCCTTAGACAATACCGTTCGAATGACCGACACCAAGAATGATATAGACAATCCTTGATGTGATTTATCATTATTTATTTGAACAATAGGCCGAGAGTCAAATATTTATCTGTATATTTTCTATATTGTTATTTCTTCTAAATAATAATAAAAAATTGACGGTTCAAAATTAAATCAATTTCAAAAATATAATTTTGTTCGGATAACTGTTTTATTTATTACTTAGTCTAGATAGAACCGGTGATACATTAAATATTAATTTGAACATTTTAAATTAAATATATCCCTTCAAATTTTTTCTTTAAACTAAATTGATCTTTTCAGCGAGCTAGTTATGAGATGTTATGAACATACAAATTATAAATTTTTAAATTATAAAATTAATTAATTAAAAATTTTAATTAATCCATAATTTTCATTTGGTCGTTTCACTATAAATCTATATTTGAACTCTTATGCATGTAGACTAACTTGTCTATTGATATAATCATTACAGACAAGTTCATCCTTTTCGAGTTGCTTATGATTGGTCAAAAGACTGTATTACCCCTATAATTACATTTTCACTTTAAATATCACCCATCATCTAGTGAATAATTTGTTTATGAACGATAGACCAAGTCTCTCTCAGGCTAGTACTCCTTTGAATTAAAAAAGTTCAAATTTTAGACCAATGATCATAGTACCCATCAAATTTCGGACTTGCAGGCTGCACAAATGAACTCTCCATCTACATACTTTTATTTAGAAGACTATTGCTTCTAGTTTTAACTTGGGTAGTTTAAGACTGCTGCTTCTAGTTTAAGATTGTTGCTTTTAGGGTTAACTTGACTAGTTTAAGATGGTTGCTTTTAGTTTTAATTTGGCTAGTTTAAGACGGTTGGCTAGTTTAAGACGGTTGCTTTTAGTTTTAACTTGGTTAACACGACTGCGTCTAGTTTTAACTTGGCTAGTTTAAGACTATTGCTCCTAGTTTTAACTTGGTTAAGACTATTGCTTCTAGTTTTAACTTGGTTAAGACGGTTGCTTCTAGTTTTAACTTGGCTAGTTTAGGGCATATTCAGGGCATGACTGATACCAAATGTTAGGAATAGAGAGAAAACTAGAAAGATCACAAGGACCGGGAGAAACAGTTCTACCATTTTTTAAGGACTCGAGCCCTTCAACAAAAATGTGGGTAATTTTTCTCTAAATTTGTAGAAACAAAATTGAAGGAGTGGGTGATCTATAGTCCCTCAATTGAATCTTCATATATCTTTATCCGAAAAGTTTGGGTCAGATTCATAATTTCTAGAACATCGATTTTCGCCACCTCAGACACCCTCGAATCAATCTCAGTCATTGGTGTCATAGCATACCTATAAGTCTTAAGTGGCTTATGTGGTGACATGGTTGGTTGGATCTCTACGATTTAGAGAAAAACATTTTTATAGCAAATTTACCTAAAAGGCAAAATTTTTCAAACTAATTTTTCAAATATTGACTTTTAGATTTATTTATGCAATTAAGTTTTAAAGGGCTATTTTTAAATTAACCAAATTTTAAGGTTATTTTATTTAAATCCTTTTTCTACTTATTTTAATATTTATTTTTTGAATGTGTTTCTTTTCAGGGTCCTTTTAGATTTTTGCTCCATATTTAATTAAAAATATATACATTTTATTAAAAATTAGAAAATTTACTTTTTGTCATTTTCTTATTTTCAATCTATTTCCGATGAATTGTAGCTATAGTGTGATGTCTCACATTGGTTGGGGAGGAGAACAAACCACCATTTACAAGGGTGTGGAAACCTTCCCCTAATAGACGCGTTTTAAAGCCTTGAGGGGAAGCCCGAAAGGGAAAGCCCAAAGAGGACAATATCTGCTAGCGGTGGATCTAGGCCGTTACAAATGGTATCAAAGCTAGACACCGGACGATGTGCCAGCCTTCTCGCTGTTCCCCGAAGGGGGGTAGACACGAGGCGGTGTGCTAGTAAGGACGCTGGCCCCAAAGGGGGGTGGATTTGGGGGTGGTCCCACATCGATTGGAGGAAGAAATGAGTGCCAACAAGGACGCTGGACCCTGAAGGGGGGTGGATTGTGATGTCCCACATTGGTTGGGGAGGAGAACAAACCACCATTTATAAGGGTGTGGAAACCTTCCCCCAGTAGACGCGTTTTAAAGCCTTGAGGGGAAGCCCGAAAGGGAAAGCCCAAAACCATTTATAAGGGTGTGGAAACCTTCCCCTGGTAGACGCGTTTTAAAGCCTTGAGGGGAAGCCCGAAAGGGAAAGCCCAAAACCATTTATAAGGGTGTGGAAACCTTCCCCCAGTAGACGCGTTTTAAAGCCTTGAGGGGAAGCCCGGTGTGAAAACCTTCCCCTGGTAGACGCATTTTAAAGCCTTGAGGGGAAGCCCGAAAGGGAAAGCCCAAAACCATTTATAAGGGTGTGGAAACCTTCCCCTGGTAGACGCGTTTTAAAGCCTTGAGGGGAAGCCCGAAAGGGAAAGCCCAAAACCATTTATAAGGGTGTGGAAACCTTCCCCTGGTAGACGCGTTTTAAAGCCTTGAGGGGAAGCCCGAAAGGGAAAGCCTGGTGTGGAAACCTTCCCCTGGTAGACGCGTTTTAAAGCCTTGAGGGGAAGCTCGAAAGGGAAAGCCCAAAACCATTTATAAGGGTGTGGAAACCTTCCCCTGGTAGACGCGTTTTAAAGCCTTGAGGGGAAGCCCGAAAGGGAAAGCACAAAGAGGACATCTAGGCCGTTACATATAGACTAATTTAAATTTTATGAAAGAAAGAAAAAAAACGGAAAAATAATAGTAAACAAAATTCTACCAAACAATCCAAACAATATTTGGAACAAAACACTTAATATAGAAGAGTTGATCCATTATAAATGTGCACATTATCTCAGCTTTACCTTCAATAGCTATCAAAGACGCTTTAGTTTTAGCTTTTTCTCACCTCGTCTATACGTATTGTCAATAATGGGCGTCTCAAAGAGAAGCATGCTCGTTAGTGTTTGTATTCTTTTTGTTATCATTAACATGCTTGAGATTGTAACTCATGCCAAATTTCTTGATTATAGTGACCCAATAGTTGACGTTAGCTCTCAATGTCAATTGACTCATCAAACTTGCAAACCACCTCGAAATCCTAATCCGATCAAAATTAAAAGTGGGGGAATGGAAGGCATTCAAAGGACAGGTTCCCTAGACAATACCGTTCGAATGACTGACACCAAGAATGCTATAGACAATCCTTGATGTGATTTATCATTATTTATTTGAACAATAGACCGAGAGTCAAATATTTATTTATATATTTTCTATATTGTTATTTCTTCTAAATAATAATAAAAAATTTACGTTCAAACTTAAATCAATATCAAGAATATAATTTTGTTCAGATATCTGTTTTATTTATTACCTAGTTTAGATAGAATATGTGAACAACAATAAATAAAAATAAAAAAAATCACAAAGATTAAAGATATTCTTATATTTAATATATGAAATATATTAAGAATTAAATATATCACTTCAAAAAAATTTCTTTCAACTGATTTTAGTGTTTCTACGAGCTTACGAGATACTTACGAGAGGTTATGAACATACATATTATAAACTTCGAAGTTATAAAATTAATTAATTTTCATTCTGTCATTTTACTATAAATTTATATTTGAACTTTCATGTATTATAGAATAAATTGTGTCTATTGATATTATCGTTACAGACAAGTTTATCTTTCTCGAGTTGTTTATAGTTACAGTTGGGCCAAAAGTCTGTATTACCTCTATAATTACATCTTTCACTTTAAATATCAACCATCATTTAGTAAATAATTTGTTTATGATCGAACAATAAACTAATTCTCTCTTAGGCTAGTGAAAGAGTAGCACACTATTCTTGGGACAAATTTACTCTCCCTTGCTTACACCAAAGCTAATAGCATAAGTTTTAAGGGACAAATTTTACTCGGAACTTGAACAATAAAGGTTAATCTATGGGTAGACGTTTTTTGGCCTCCTCAACTCTTGCTTCCTTCATCAAAGCCGTTCCATTAATCACCACGAACCTAAGAGAATAGGTATTACTCAAAGAGATTAAGTATTAAGAGTAAATTTTGAAAATGTCGAAGAAATGGCTGAAACTTGTTTAATAGTTTGATCATCCTAATTCTCTTTAACCTAAGCTTATTAACCTTCACATCGTTCTTCAAAAATGTTTCTTAGGTTCCTAAATAAAATTGAGTTCGTCTTAGTGAACAAATTTTTCTTTAAGGCTTAGATTAAAAATCTAATTTTTCCCATACTATATCTTCAAGAACTCGAGTGGGCAATAACGTTCTACGCTTTTTAAGGCCTCAAGCCTTTCAACAAAAAAGTAGCACCTTGGTTCTCAGGTTTGATTATGTCTCTCCTCAAATTAAAGATATGGTTGGCTAGCCCTTGACACAATATCTACCGCTCAAAAGTGTGAATAGATATGAAAATATTATTACTCAACTAAAAATACAAATTTAAGAATGAGAAATGGAATTGGGATCGAATGTTCAATTTTCTTCGTATTCATAACCTTTTGATACGAGTAAAATATTAACTAACTCTTGAGAATAAAATAAAATATATTATTGTTCAAATTTAATAGATTAGAAATAGGTAACATATATTCTCTTACTAATATATTCTTCAAATATTAAATGATTACTAATATCATAACTAAAATAAGTTGCACTAAATTCTGACTGTCTTAGTGCAAGCTTATTTCTAATAACTCTGAAAGCCTTATGAAAAACTTCAAACTTCACTTTGTTTCCCTGTTAACCGCTTGCCTTCTTGTTGGTTCTTTAGCAGCTTTTCTTTTTCTCTTCCTTTTTCCTATGCTTTTTCTTCTTTTTAGCGGTAGCCATTTCTGTGCTCTCTTCTTTAGCTTCCTTTTCAGCTGATGCATCAGGAAGAGTTACAAGGTCAGGTGGGTGCTCAACTTTGGCCTCTTGTGAAGAAAGAGAAGGGTCTGCTGATTTTGATATAGTAGGCCCCTCTCCTAGCTTAGCAAGAATCTTATCCAAATCATCTTCTTCTTCTTGAGCAGTCCTTCCACTCGTTCTTCTGTTTCTTTTTATTTTTTTGAAGTTTCTGCCACCCTAAAATTTTGAGTAGTGTCTCTCCATCTGACATTTCTTTTTCTACCTCTTTATGTGATACATCAAAATTCTTGGTCTTCACTTCTTGATCGATGCCCTTGCTTTTCTTGCACTTGTCATCCAACTGAACTGAAGATTTCAACGAGTTCTTGTCATCCATCCCATTACCTTGTTCTCTTTCACCAACCAAACTGTCTTCCAATTTGTCGCCTTCGTCTGCCACAACATCACGTTCATCCTTGGTACAATTCTCTAAATCAATCGATACATCCTGACTTTCTGATAAACCACCGTCATCACTGCAAGCTTCTCTCTCTTTAGCCACATTCATGCTCTTATCCAACAACTCAGCCTCTACTACAACACTGCCTTTCTGAACTTGGTCTAGATTCTCACTTTCAACCTCCCTCTGACCATTATCAGACTCAAAATGCTTTTCTTCTACCAATTTATCTTCCCTCTCAGGAAACGATTCAGCTTTACTTCCCGTTTTCAATTTCGGATCTAGTTCGGGTTCAAGATTCGGTTTAGGTTCAGATGTAAGCGCAATTTCAGCCTCAGGGTCACGTTCTAATTCTCCTTCCTCCATTTTTCTAGGCCTTTTACTCTTCTTTTCATCCTCATTTAAAGCACAGGAACTCAATTGGGGATGGGTAGTTTCTGTAGGAACAGATGACCTATGATATTTTGAAGATCTCAAATCTGCGTTACCTTCATTCGGTTCTTTCTTCCTCTTTGTCATACAAAATTTCCCTATTTTCTCTGATTTATTCTTCTGTTTGACAACAACATCATAATACTCCACATTAGAAGATGGGCGATTCATTCCCTTAGAGACGCTAGAACCGAAATTTTTAAAACTCGAGTCGTGAGACGATGCTGACTCGCTTGAGAATTCATGATCACTACCATCGCCACCATGCTCTGGGAAGGACAATTTAAAATCCTTGGACTCTTTCCCATCCACCAAATGGGTCGAAAAACACTCACTATCTGCGGTTCTTAATTTAGAAGATTGATAGTTTAGAAACTCACCTTCATCGGGGAACTCCTTGCATGAAACCGCAGAGCTCCTGGATCTCGGAGAGCATGCAAGGCTGCAAACACGAACAGCAGCGCTCCCATAAGCTTTCCGGTCAGCCTGCAAGTCCAGTGAATTGGTAGTTTGATCCAAATCTTCGGAGATAAGGAAACCGTCAGCCTTAGTGTCACGACCCGATTTTCGAGGCTTCGAAAAACCGAATCTTAACTAAAAAGACGAAATCGAAAATAAACAAAAGGAAAATAAAAGAAAAGAAAAGCAAAGTAAAATAGATAAAAATACCATTGAATTAAAACAAAAAAAAAAAAGTTTTGTTTCGAAATTATTACAAAAGGAATGGCAAATATAAAATAAAATATAAATATTTCCAACGGGAAATAAAATTATGAAGAAAAATACAAAAGACTCTAAAAGACCGAAAATGGACTGACGCTCCGAAACGACCCCCTCTGTGACTGTACAGCTCTCAAACGCTCCTCTACCTCGACTAGTAGGCAGCGAACACCTGAGAAAAATCAAGGAGAACGGGATGAGTATAAAAATTATACTCAGTAAGCCACCTACTTGTAGGCTCTCTTCGCATCTTAATTTAACAGAACTCCCACGGTTTCCTAATTCAGTTCTAGGACATCGGGTTCTAACCTTAGTCTCTTGGGGCTTGCCCCTTGAGTTTCACCAGTTCATCGTCCTTTCATTAGTCACCTAGAGGTTCCTTATGCCAAGCTAATGTGGTCGGTATCTCTCTATGAGGTGCTACCTTTACATGGCTATCTAGGACTACATGGTACCTAGCCTAGAGGTGTGCTGAGTACCCCTACGCCCACATAGTTCTCCTATGGGGGGGTGCGACCCAACCCGTTCCCATGCAGCTAATGAGCTGTACGACGTGGAGACACATTTCCCATGCGAAATGGCTAAGAGCAGTAAGGACTGATGGGGGACCCTTGGTCCTTCCACGAAGCTATAGATACCGTTCTCACACTAGCAACCTATGAACACTCCTGAGGTACCTTGTTGCCATAGTAATTAGCTAAGTTCCTAGGGGAAAGTTAAGTCTGGCTAAAGCGACATATCGCTCCTAATGGTAACCCCCTAAGCTTATCTTAGAAATGGGCACTAGAAAATAACGGGGTGTGCATGCAACCGTCTTCTAACATCCTAATATTCATGCAAACTAAGCACGCCGGCTCAACGGGGCGATGGCCTCCATCCAGCACCCAAAACACGAAGTTCGCGCTCAATGTGGCGAATTCATCCATCGAGCACCCGGAACACGGAATACACAATTCCAACATAAATTAAACGCATGCAGACGTATAACGGAAGCTTAAGGCATACAAGCAACACTTAGATAATTCACCCAACACATCATAACAATCCAGCTGATTGATCTCATTCATGGAGAGCTAATTTAAGGCAAAATTACGAACATGCATACATACAATCCAAGCAAACCCTACAAGTATT